AGGAGGACAATTCAGGGGTCTGAGACGGTGAACTGGAAATTATGGCCCCGTTAGCCAGATCGCCCAAGAAGGCGCTCGTGGACTAGAGGGATCACCTCTGGGTGGGCTTGGCAGAACTCGTTCTCGCTACGCGATGGACAATCTCAGGCCGGAAGACGTTTGGGTATGTCGACTAACAAAGTCGTTTGTTAAACCGCGGCTTCAAAATTCACGGTACCGGTACTAGTGGTTCTCGACAATCACTTTTTCCCTAAAAAGATGAGCAGCAAATCCATGTACCTGTGACTTTTCTCACAATTTTTGTGCAAAATTTTGACCACGAAAAACCATTGAAGCTGGCACAGGCCAACGGCCCCCCTGACCCGCCCCCGCAAGCTTGCAGACTCACAAGCATGTCAAAAAACATAACAGCTGCGAGAGACTAGTGGTTTGAAAAAAAGATGGGGAAACTTTTTTGAAAATGCCCCTCCGACTTCCATTCAGTTGCGGTGTTGCCCCTCTGACGGCCGAGTTCCCCTGTCGCACCCCTCTGACGGTCAGCTTACCTTGTCGCAAGGTTGCACTGCAGGCAGTTTCGGATTTGCCTGGATTAAGCATTGGGTCTTTTTGAAATGCCCCTCCGACTTCCATTCAGTTGCGGTATTGCCCCTCTGACGGCCTAGTTACCCTATCGCACCCCTCTGACGGTCGAGTTACCTTGTCGCAAGGTTGCACTGAAGGCAGTTTCGGACTTGCCCGGATTCAGCATCGGGTCTCACATCCAGGGGACCTATGGAGAGGACCTATGGAACTGTCTGAGATAAAGCAGTGGAGATCTGCTGCCGAATTGAAACCTAACCTGCATTCACTGTGGGGTGTTGAGGGGAAGCTGGAGTTGATTCTTCAAAGTTCAAAGCAAAAAGCTTTCCCGCAAATTTCGGTAGATTTTTTAATTGAGCAGTCGGAGTCCAGCTTGGATGACAATCCACCTCACCGTCGCAATCTACCCCACAGTACAGCGAACTCATCATAGGCCATCTCTCTCACAGTGATTCTTCTCAAGGCTTTGTATTGGAAGTTGCAGATGCCGACTTGTCCCCGACAGGGCGACACCTGATGCGAACAGCGCAGTCCAAGGCGCTGCACAGCCTGAGGCTTATTGAACAAAATTGCCGTTCAGGAAATCGCCCTAGGAAAAGGACACCGTGACGCAGTCCTCCACCATCCAGACCAGTCTCCGGCTGGCTGAACTCGGGACACACCCTCTGCACTGGTCGTGGGATGACCCACACTCATCCTGCAACGTTAGTCTGCAGGATTATGCACCTTCCATTGGGTRTCRTCKCAATCTCAGAAATCACACCGCTATACTCGAAAGTGATGACATGTTGGCTCACAGAGAAACCCTCTGACAGGACAAGATCTGTGATATCGTGGCATCGGACATAGGAAGCAGTGAAACATATTCTTCCAAATCTGTGCATCGTTTTAGTTCTCAAGTGCTGGTTTCGCGACCCCGACTCACCCAGCAGTTCCACAATGGCCTGCCTCCAGGGCAGGAATGTGCAAGTCCCCGGACCTCTTCTGGTCGTCGAACGCAGGAAGCAGATAGAAGCCAGCGACCATGTACGGTGTAACTCTGCAGAACCGAAACGGATCCGGGAAACGAGGACGCGGCTCACATTGACGAAAGATGGACGGAACGCAGCTGGTTTTCAGATGGAATCATTGGGATGGAAATTTTATACTGGTCCTACTGGATGCATTTTGCTTGCCAATATACGTAGCTCTCTCAGTGCAAACTGCTATTTTGCTGTAGCTAGGAAGC